CGAAATATCCCAAAAACCCAAACCTCAATGAGTGTAGTATCGAGTATCTACCAACTTTGGACTGCACCAAAGTCGGTCATCTCTCTACGTCCTAAAGGCCAATTTGGTCAAGTAAAGGTTCTAAAAGTTCATTAGTGCTTCATGACATCACTCAGCGGCCCCGTATTCTACGTGAAGCAACATGTTCGTGCTTACGATCTTCAGATGACATGCCCCTGGATATGATTTTTTTCTTGACGTGATCCGCCAATAATTCAACATAGTTTCAAGCCTTAAAAGAATAAACTTATCATTGGTGCTTATGTGAGCTTCTTTGATATCAAACAAATGTTTTGCAGTTAGAAAAAGTTTACAATGAGAATGAAAATTCTAATGCAACAGTTATGTAAGTCTTGAAGATTTTGAAAGATATCGCACAAATTTTGCGAGTTAAAGCACCATTTATTTTTGTATAGGAAAAACATATGATACCAACATAACTATTTAGAACATTCATGGGAGTCAGGAACACTATCTCATTGAAGTATGCTTTCAAAATAACCTTGCTTCAATTAGGACTTTTGAAGGTTGTAATGTGGTCTGGTTCATGGTTTTTAGAAAAAAGATTTTAAGGCTCAAAATATTTGGTGCCCACCCATTCTTCGTGATGTTCTCCAACCCTATGTTCAGTTAATTCAACATGAGTGTTCATCTCTCAAAAGGATTCTGTGACGGTCAAGGAAACTACGAGGCTTTCGGAGTAGAAACCACCCTCATGTCTTCGTGTTTGTAGTCACCAATTTGTTCTTTGCTAAGGACTTTTCTTTGTAGTCCTTTCTTTGCAATTTTTATTTTCCCTAATTTTTGCCTGAACTAATTTTTGAATTGATAGTCCAGCGGGATGCCTTAATTTTACCTAAGTCACATGTTTTCATGTTTTTTGACTTAGCAGGCTTTTTCTTTTTTCTCGATTTTTGACTTTTTGAACAAAATGTGTGACATTAGCTTGCATTGCTTGTTGAGAGGATTATGATTGCCTCGTTTCTTGATGAATGAGGGATAACATTGTGGTTCCACATCCTCTAGATTCATTATACATGAAGGATAGCCCTCATAGTTTCTCTTCAAAAAACATCTTCCTTATGAATTTTGAACACTCAGTCAGATTAACTAAAAACTACCCTGCCCCAGGTTAAAATTCAAGGTTTTTTCGTATAGAAAAGAAACTTCTGCTTCAAAGGCTCAAAAGGGGTTAGCAAGGGATTATCTTCCTTATATCTCCAGTGTTTAGGGATTTGAAACAATGCTTGTACATCATCAGCAAGATTTTATCCAAAAGCAAACAACCAGAGATTTTGTGTTCTTTAGATTATCATCCTCCCTTCAATCTCTGCCTAGGCAAGAGAATGGGAAACAAGTTGGTATCATAATGCAAAAAGAAATTTAAAATTTGAAAACAAATATGAGTGAAACGAATGAATTTCTTCAAGACAAACATACTCATTGTATTAAGATAATCATTCAGATGCAAACAAGTTCTTACATGAAAACAATGTTTTGATAAACAAGAAAAGTTACAAAAAGCAGAAATAAGTTAATAATCTGGGAAGGCTTTCCATCTGGACTTGAATTACCGAAAACATCCCTCAAAACTCAAAGTGACCATCAATCGTGTTTATTCTTCGGCGCATGCTTGATTAGAACTTCAAAACCAACGTCCTTGAATGACAAGATACCACTTCTGACCAACTTCTGAACCTCGATCTTCAAAGCAAAGCAACCCTCCAAGTCATGCCCAGGAGCACCTTGATGAAAGGTACATGTCAAATCAGCTTTGTAGTACCAATGTATCTTCTCAGGAACCTTTGGTGGAGGTCGGGTCTGAACCAAATTCCTCTGCATCAGGATAGGGAACAACTTTGTATAGGTAATTGAAATTGGATCAAACTGGGTTTTCCTCTGATTAGGAACTTGCTGATTCTGTTGATGAATAGGAGAAACATGATGATTCTGACAATGATTATTTCTTCCTATGGTTCTCTTCTTGGAAAATTTATTATCAAACTTCTTCACACCATTAGCTGAGCTACCATCTTCATATAAACATCCCTTTCCGACATCTTCTTCTAGACGCACTCCCATATTCACCTTGTCAGGAAAGTCATTAGGTGCATTAACCATCACCTTCTCATGGGAGAATGATTTTAGAGTTTCAGTGAAGACTTTTTCCATCACTTCTTCTTTCTTAGAAGGATTGACTCGGGCGGCAACCAGAATTTCAACTAAACCAGTTAAATGCTCCACACTAGCTTTCAAATTAGCCATCTCTCTGTGGAGTTCAGAAATCTCTTGCTTGATATTCTCCATTGTCCTCTTAGCGCGAGTGTTGTACTAGTGAGACCAAAGGAAAAATAAGACTTGGAAAAAGACCTTTGAAAGTGAAATAAAAAATGTAGAATGATACATGATATGCAAAAGAGAATTTTTATTTGATTTTCAAAGAACTCAAGATATTAAGTTGTAAACATCAAAGTATGAAGATAGAAGATGAATTTTAAATTGGCTCCAAACATTGATCAAGTTATCATCAAGATCAATCATCCATTTTGGTGGATTAGGGTTTTCGCCCTATCAACACCCAAGATCCATTGAGCTTGACGAAACTTGTGATGTTTACAAAGAAAGACCTCCAAATTCCTTCAAAGTCAAGTGAAAAGGGTTTTATGGATGCATGAATGCATGGCTATGCAACAACCACAAGCAAGGTCACAAATAAAGTCGAAAGGTTCAACGTCACGAGCATGGAGTCAAGGTAAGGAACACCCCCAAGGTATGTACTAACGGTTTAATCACACCTGTAGAACAAGGTTCTAAGAGTTCCCGGAGTCTACATTCCTCCTTCGGATATTACCAACGTCTTGATTACTCAATAATCAACAATATTCTCAAGAGAAACTCACCCGAGCGTAGCATCACGTAACAATTACTTCCAGATTACTCCATTATAATCTCCGCGCTACACCTAAAAGGCCAAGATGGGTTAGGGTTCTACGGTTCCCAGCTTCTCTGGCTCCCAGGTCGAAAATAATAATGTCTTCCCGATTACTCGGTAAACAAATATTACGTTCAAAAGGGCCTTCCACTGAGTGGGGGATCTCATGCCTCCTTCTTCGGGATTACTCCCTCAAAGTTAACATGACTATACCGCCCGTCCTATTCCTAAGTGTAACTTAGTCCGGGTATAGGACTTGTCCTTTGTAAATATTATCGACACCCAAATAATCATAATATATACATATAATCAAACAATCAAATAATGATAAAACAGATAAAACAAATTAGGCTTAACCCACTTAGGGATGGACCAGCAAGAGGTCAATCTTTCCCCAGCAGAGTGGCCAATTCTGTAGCGGTGAAAATCGGAGATCAGGCTATTAATTAACTTGACTCACAAAAAGCAAGAGTCGCCACTGTGCTTTATTATTTCCAAGGGAAAAGGGAAAAGAGCGAAATAAAACCCTAAAATATGCAATGTAAAATAATACTTAAAAGTAATAAAAATACAATGCGTTTTTGAAAGAGATCGAGAGTTCGGGGGTTGGTTATACAATGGGAAGGTATTAGCACCCAATGCATCTGCGGTACTCCGCATGAACCTTTTGAAATATCTGTTTTTGGTTAAAATTGTTTGTTTGATTAAAATGGTTTATTTGGTCAAAATGGGTATGGATGAGATTTTGAAGATACGACGACCTCGTGTCGAAGTTTTGGTTTAAAAGAGTGTATGTTTGAAATTAGGTTTTGAGGAGATTTAACTTAAGATTTACAAAATTAAAAATGTATGAAGGGGTTCACACAATCGTATTAGATACTCGATGACATGAAGTCAACAAATTAATTTCTTTCCCTTGGATTTAAAACCACAGACAGATAAATAAGCTAAGAGTATATCAAACCTCAGGTGAAAATAAATCACAAGCCGACATCATCAAATAACCTAATGTGAGATAATACTCCAAGCATCAGATAAAGCGCAAAGGCGATGAATAAAGTTCACGGTATAAGATTCCCTGCATCACATGAAATATACAGACAAAACACACAGTACGGGAAAACTTATGCGTCCGTGCAATTTTCAGAAGTTAGTTTGAATTAAAATAAAAATCGTAACGCGATGACAATAATATTTACATAACCTGAATTTATTTACAAATGAAGTGAATAAAATATAAAATCAAAAATATTATATACAATTGTATATTTACATAAATTACAAAAATTAAAAGAAAGAAGTAAAGGAAGTGCAAATAAGCATAAGGTGGTGTAAGAGTAGGATATGGATTATATATAGAAATTAACCAATGGACTTTGGAGAAAAATATGAGATTAGGTCCAATTGATTATTTTTTAACATCATAACAATACTTAATTATAAAGAAATGAAAATTTAAAATAATAACATTAAATAAAAATTGAAAATTATAATGATAAATAGAATAGTAAAAAGTGTAATAAAAGGGAGTACTGTGAGCTGTAGAGACGGAGGTATGGTTGCTAGCGGAGAGGGCTATGTTGACGGAAGTTAGAAGAAGGTGGGTGGCGGACTGAAGGAGGGTGAGGGACGGAATTGCAGGGGTATGGCGATGTGGTTTGTGGAAAATGAAGTGAGGAATTTGGGAACGACATATGGGTAATGGAAGGAGGCAGAATGGGTTAGCGTTGGAGGTTGGGATGGGTTGTTGATGATTGGTGATGTTGCGTTTTTTCTTTGGCAGAAGGTGAAGGTGATGATGATGGAAGGGGTTGTGAGACGGTTGTGTTGACGGAAGAAACAGAGGCAGAAAATTAAAGGAATGGAACCAGTAAGACTGTTTCGAGAAAGAGAAATCACCTGAAGCTTCGGAAGTGCCGAAATCGCCGACGGAAGCACACCGCCGAGTGCATTTCCCTTTGCACTCAGATGCACGAGCGAAGAGCAATTAGCAAGTGCAGAAGGTGAAGTTCCCCCAAGGAAATTATGGTCAAGCCAGAGATATTGCAGTTTCTGAAGGGAACATTGCTTCAGATTTGATTTCCTGAATGCCAGATTCATCATTAGCAGTTGCAAGTGATTTTATCCCGTGATTGATATTTCCTCCATCACCAGTATTGTCAGTCTGCACATGAGGCTTCTTGTCTTCAGACGGTTTCCTCTTGGGAAATTTCCTTTTAAAGCGTGCTTTCTTAGGCTTTGGAGCTTTTGAAGCCTCATCAGCGACAAAATCTGCTGCTCTTTTTCTGGATGGAATGACAATCAAATGGCCAAACTGGTTTTGAGAAGTCTGAGATGCATTTGTCTGGATAGCTAATAAAGCAGTTCTTGCGGCTTTTATCTCTGCTTCCTTCTTTGTTTTTGTTGTTCCCCCAACATAGTGAATCCCTCCAATGTCGACTGTACATGAAAATAACGGTGCTCTACCTGGTGGTGCATCATCTTTTTTGCATTGATACATTGGCATTGCATAGTTCATTTTCTGAGCATACTCCTGAAGTAGATTCTTGCATAATCCAGTTTCATGAACAGGTTGAGTGATGGAGTGATTAACTTTACCAGATTTGGCCAACTCCATCAAAGCAACCTCTGCAGCTGACTGCTCTGCTGCTTTACGGTTAAAAAATCCAGGCAAAGAATCATACCGAACTTCATTCACAATCACCGTTGATTTGAAACAAGGTTCATGGGAAGGCCCGTCCTTGATAGTTTCATACACAGGCGGGGAGTCCTGCTTTCTGAGCATACTCCTGCAACCGGCTCTTGAACACATAACAATTTGAAACACCTTGGAAATCTTCGTTAGCGATGAACATGGTGACAGTTGAGGGAAGAGAAGGTGGTGATTCGTTGGTGTTTATCGGAACGTTCGGAAATGGTGATGTTGGTCCGTTCACGATAAAGATGGTGGTTGAGTTACAAGTGCTACAGCAACTGATGTTGTTGGATCTGTAGCGGGCGGAGTCGGGATTGTTGTCATGGATTGAAGCTTTATAGAGGGAATATTGGGTAGTGGTAATTTGGTGGATGAAGTTATTTTTTGTTCAGAGGTTTACGGAGGAATTGTGAGGGGGTCTTAGCTGGGCGTATAGTAATTGAACGGAGGGATAGTTTGCGGTTTGTTGATGATGTGTGAAGGAATTCGATTGGTTCGCTTGTTGGTGAGCATTTAGAGAGGGAGTATGGATGCAAAAGGCGATGTGGGTTAGAAGGATAAAGGGTCGATTAGAGGATGTTAATTGAAGGTGATGTAATGGTTTCGTGGAAGCTCACAGTGGTAGAAGAAGAGGTTAATGGATATGTGAAAGTGGTGAGAGAAGGGAGTATGTTACTGTGTTGTTTTGTTTTTGTTTTTTTGTTGTGTGTTTTTGTTTCCTCCCCCTTTTTACAAAGAAATAATGCTACTTAAATAGAAAAATAAAGTGGAGATGGGTTTATGATTGCAATCAGAGCCATTGAAAATAAACTCCATTCACTGATCCATTATTTTTGCTAACAACCAATAAGAATCAAGCACAGTGTAAATAATATATTTTGGTGACCAAATAGCCCTTAAATGATAAAAATAACCAAAAAACTAAATGTATTAAAATTAACTCAATTTAAAATGATTTTTTTGAATATTTTATGAATAAAAAATAAAGAACCAAAATGACCAAAAATGATAAAAAACTGACGAAAATTTATCCGAAAAAATAAAATGAACACATTAAAATAATCTACATGTCACAAAGATTAAAGAAAAAATATTCAAGAAGTCAAAAATCAACAATAAAATAATAATAAAAATATCAGACTAAACAGACGTTTAAGGTTAAAAACGAGACTTCAAACTGTATCGAAAAAATAAAGCGAGCATACCGTCATAATCTACGCGAAGCGCAGATTCATAAAATGATCGGTAAAAGGTGAAAACTTGAAATATTTTCTCGCTACTTTCCCGCATAGTGTCGAATCGCTTTTAACAGTCTGTCTATAAAACCGAAATATTTTATTATCGACATATAAACAATTTAGAGCAGTGCAAGAAAATAGTAAACAGATAAAAAATGAATGAAATGAAATGTCGGGTATTTTACAACTGAAAGATGATGCAAACTTTGATTTAAACTGACTTTTTCTGGTCAACTTAAATACGACTAATGATGCAAAATGTGATGAATGGTATTTACTAATGATTGTGACCAAATAACAAAATATGATATGAAAGCGCGACTAAAACATATTAGGGGCGAAATTTAGGGTGCAAAAGTTGTGCCTTGATGAATCAGTCTTCGAGAATCCATAATCAACCGCACTTTTAGCTTGGGAGACTCAAAACCTTAATTGAGGCGCGACACCTGATGCTCTTGATTCAAACCTGTCTCTGCACATGAAGCAAAAGAAAACATGAACATACACCTTTGTATGGATTAGAAATTAGTGATACATAGGCTAAAAATGTTCAAAACACTTGACAAACTTCGCATAGTCAATGCTCGAATGTGAGACGTTAAAACTGACCGTATTTCGTGACCTTGAATTATCTTTAAAAATGCAAAAATAAAAATGGGATCTTAGGTCAAAAATTGGGGTACAACAATATGGTCATTTTTGTAAGGCAACCAAGTGGATTTACCCTAAGGGTGCTTGTGTGCAAGTGTATTGATTTTCATGCTTTGTTTTGTCTTGATTAGGGTTTGCTATTTTGTTGGGTTTAGTCTTTCCATACAAAACCCTATTACTTGCAATTTGTATATAAAGCGATAAATTGCGGAATTTAAAATTACTACGCTATTACATCATTAGGGGAGGGGGTATACAAATTTACAAATGGGGATTTGCAAGAAATTAACTCCAAATTAACTATTACAACCATATTGAAATGTACAATACAAGAATAAAAAGGACTTGTTTTTGAAAGTGGTTTTTTGTCTTAAGAAATGAATTAATTAATAAAAAAAGAAAATATTTTTTTATGTCTTTTTTATATTAATAAAGAGGGTATTAATATTAAAAGTGATAAAAAAAGGGAAATAACGAGAGATAGCATTAGCATCCTGCTGAAAGCAAAGCAAAGGGGATAAGAAGTTCTGATGTCGGGCGCACTGTGGTTCAGAAGGAAGCGTCAGAAGTTTTGGATTGATACACTCTGAGGTCCTGCAAGAAAAGTTAGAGGGAAAACACAAGTTCTAGGTTGCTATGTACTGAACTTATGAATGTTAGAACAGTGAGAAAGTCTTAAAAGTTCTTTGTATTAAAACAGTGAAGAGAACTCATAAGTTCAGTATGTGCTAAGAAATTGAGTGAATATCAGAAGTTCAGTGTATGTTAACAGCGAGTGAACATCATAAGTTCATTGTGTTTAAACAGTGAGAAAATCATAGAAGTTCTGTGTGTGTTAATAGTGAGTGAACATCAGAAGTTCAGTGTGTTTAAACAGTGAGAAAATCATAGAAGTTCTGTGTGTTAAAATAGTGAGGAAATCATAGAAGTTCTGTGTGTTAAAATAGTGAGGAGAACTCAGAAGTTCTGTGTTGTGCTAAAACCGTGAGTGAAAATCAGAGATTCTGTGCTACATTTCAACTCTTTCCTCATATTAATCATCACATCAACAATTTATTCAGTTCTTAACAAACAGCAAATCAGAGGGATAAAAGCGCAACGATTTATAGAAGTTCTAATCCTGATTCTGAGCCTAGCCTTAATCAAGAAGTTCCGATCCACAGTTGTTTCTACTTATGCAATGATATAGACAACATCAATACTATGATATTTACATATTTAATGATGTTCTGAATGAAAAGATGCAAATCCAAGAAGACTTACCTTGAATCTGAAGCGTCTTCTTGGAACTTGAGCTGCTGCCTTCAGATGTTATGGAGTCAGTGAGAGCAACGGAACAATGGTTATGTTCTTTGATTCAAAGAGAAGAACAAAGGTTTTATTTAGGATTTGCGAAGGTTTTTAGTGTTTTCTTTTCTCTCTTTGATAATTCTCTCCCTCTCTCTAAAAGCCAGCCCTTGAAAGTGTGATTGAGTAACTCATTTATAGGTGAGTTTGTTGTGGTTTTGGAGGGAAAAACAAATGGGATTTGAACAATTTTTGGCATCCCGTTCCATTTCTTTTTTATCACAATTTTCGTATGCTAGGGTGCTGCCTTGTTCTTGAAGCAAGTATGTTGGTTAGCAGCTTTTAGTCGTTCCTAAGCTGAATTTGTAAGCATGAATTAAGGAAAAGTACCTTCAGAGGCAATAGCAAAACATGGGCCCAATATAACCTTGTACCGAAGTTTGTTTTTTCAAGGACAACAATGGTATTTCTATCTCACACGTGGGGAAATTCTTTGGATAAAAACTCAAAAGTGGTTGTGAGCATTAAATGATGATGAGACTTATCAAACCAGAAATCATGTGCCATGAGATTATGCATCATAGCTTAATTCTGGGCCAGAAGTTCAACATCAGTGCAACTTAGAACAAACATCCAACTTCTGATCCTTGAATCCCTTTGCTCTAACATGTTCTGTAGGAGTTCTCAGACTTTCCCAAAAGCTTGTAACACGCTTTGTAAATCCTCTTTGAATTTCTATTGCAAATTCTGACCGGACCTATATGAAAACTGGCTCAGAAGTTCTAACCAAATCCTGTTTTGGAAAGGTCCAAAATTTGCTGAAAGCTTCAGTTTCATGGACGTGTCTTCAAGGATTTGTAGCTTGAAATCCCAGCATTTCTAGGAGAAGTTCTGTTTCGTAAAGTTCTAGATCTTATTGAAATCTACAACTCTTATGTCAAAAGTTCTTCCAGAATCAGCTTGCATCATGGTGAAAATCTGGCCAGAAGTTCTGATCTTATCATCTTTCCTAAACACTTAGAAAATTTTCTAAATATTTGGAAAATTTACTTTTCCAAAGTAACTTTGACTTTTGATTTTCTTGATGAAACAAACTTCATATTTCAACCTGTCTTGATGAAATATGATTCTTGAAACTTGAAGTTTGACCTAAAAGTCAAAGTTTGATTTTTTTCAGTATGCAATTGACCATTTTGCCCTTGTGCCAATTCCAACCCAAACTGATGTATAAGTGCTTCAACCTTGGTTCATGAGGGATTTTGTGAGGAGTTTCTAGAGAAATGAGAGGGCAAATATAGGGTACAACAGTCATGTTATCTCAGGTAGTGGCATTACTGTAGATCTATCTAAAGTAGATGCTGTGCTCCAAAGTCGGCTACCGAGATTAGAAGCTTTTTGGGATTAGCTGGTTATTATAGAAGGTTTATCGATGGTTTTTCTAAGTTGGCACTTCCGTTTACTAAGTTGACTTGTAAAGGTAGAGCTTTTGTGTGGGACGTTCAATGTGAAGAAAGTTTTACAGAACTTAAGAAAAGATTGACGTGGGCTCCGATTTTGACATTACCTAATCCAGGAGAACCTTTTGTTGTACATTGTGATGCTTCCAAGATGGGTTTAGGAGGTGTGCTTATGAAGAATGATAAGGTAGTTGCTTATGCGTCAAGTAAATTGAGGACTCATGAGAAGAACTATCCTACGCATGATTTAGAGTTGGCTGCGGTTATTTTTGTGTTGAAGATTTGGAAGCATTATCTTTATGGTTCTAGATTTGAAGTATTTAGCAACCATAAGAGTTTAAAGTATTTGTTTTATCAGAAGGAAATGAATATGAGACAACAAAGATGGTTGGAGTTATTGAAAGATTATGATTTCAGTTTGAATTATCATCCATGAAAAGCGAATGTGGTGGCGGATGCGTTGAGTCGAAAGACTTTACATATGTCGACAATGATGTTTAAAGAGTTGGAATTAATTTTACAATTCA